CTTCACAGGAACAGCCCTGTCTTATCAACCCAACCATCAAGGAGGTGCACTGGTGGCACTTTGTAGGGGCAGTGAAAGACTTCACGAAAAACTGATGAGTCTTGCGCTGAAAAGCAAAGGAACAAGAGGCAACACATCACTGCACCCCCAAAGGACCCGCAGGAACTGCAAGCGCACCAGACAAACCAAATGCAAACTGAACAACACAAACGGTACAGAGATTCAAAAACGCCAACAAAGAATGCTGGAAGGCTTGGGCCTCGACACCCACTTCAGATACAAACGCTGCAGCGTCCATTATAAGCTGCGCAAGCCACCACAGAAGTGAAAACTTCCTATTCCCTGAATCAGTCACTGAACAAAATGAGAGAATCGTACATCCCTAAACCAGACTGAGCTCGAACTGCATAGACTGCATAGCTCTGAAACACCCCTCCAAAGCCAACGGTAACTCGAATCCAGCCAACAAGCACAGCAAAGCAAAACGACGCACACACCAGGCAAAATACGACGATCAGCACCACAAGCTGGAAGGCAGCAAGGCTGCGAAGGCGCCACACACCTTAGAAACGAAAGACGAAAAATAGCAAAGCGCAGCCCTTCCCTCACACACCCACGAGACAACACATCCCACTGGGGCTGCCCAGGGACCAACGAATCCAGGCTAGCAGACCAGAGACCTTCCTGAAGAGCCTCCATCTGTCCTTCTGTCTGCCCTAAAGTTACAGATGCACACCACAGCACCTGTCTCTTCACACGGGCTCCAGGGGGAGCTGGGACCATCAGGCTGCACAGCCAGCACCCCCGACAGGGGCAGCAGCTCCCGCCTGCCTGACCTCTTCATTTCTGCGCTTTCCCATCTCCACGTGGTGATTTAAGTTCCTACCATTTAAATAAGTTCATCGCTTTGGAAACTAGACATTCTGAGAAAGTTTTAAGTGTTTTCTTGCATCCTTTACTGAAGCTTTTCATCTCTAGTTTGGAGAAATTTTAGGTGCTTGTTTCTTTAAGAACAGGCTTTTGTTTGTGTCACTGTGTATGCCAAGTGTGCGAAGGCGCCCTTGAGGTCAGAAGGGCAACAGATGCCCAGAGACGGAGTTAGGGCAGTTGTGAGCTGCCTCACAGAGGCGCTGAGAACGGAACTCTGGTCCTCTGGAGAACAGCGGACGCTCTTAACCACAGGGCCGTCACTCCAGACCCTCTCTATTTCCTTAACTCCACCTCTCTCCTACTGAAGTCAGATTATATTATGTAAATGTCGACACCATTCTTGTCAGGTACCTTAACTTTCAGAGTTTTCATCTCACCTTCTAACAGACTTGTTTTTCTACTGTGTCTATTCTTCTCTCTCTGTTATCAAAGCCCTTTATGGATTTCAGGAATTATATTCTTCTGTCAATTTTATTTTTTTTTTTAGGTTTTTGAGACAGGGTTTCTCTGTAGCTTTGGAGCCTGTCCTGGACTAGCTCTGTAGACCAGGCTGGCCTCGAACTCACAGAGATCCACCTGCCTCTGCCTCCCGAGTGCTGGGATTAAAGGCGTGCACCACCACCGCCCGGCTTGTCAAATTCTTCTAGATTATTTTTTCTTACCACTGCTCTATCCTGTCTGACATTACCCATCTCTGTAAGGATATTTACTATGTTTATTTTAAATTTGTATTCTTCTGGTCTCATTATGTAATGGTAAGTTCTTTTTTAGCAGACTTTTTTTTGGGGGCGGGGGGGTTTCAAAACAGTGTTTTTCTGTGTAGCCCTGACTGTCCTAGAACTTGCTTTGTAGGCTGGCCTCAAACTCAAGAGATCCACCTGCCTCTGCCTCCCAAGTGCTGGGATTAAAGGTGTGAGCCACCACCACCACTGCCCAGCTTTTTTCATACTTTTAAAAATTAATTTCAGATCCACTGACCTCATTCACTTGTAACATATTCACAGTTTATGCTCTGGGGAGGAAGATCATTGACTGACCTTCCAGTGTCTAGAATTTCTCTGCATAGGCTTAGACAAGGAGCTCAGTCTTCATGTCTTATCATATACAACGCCTTAGTCATAGTAGGATGGATGGGAGAGATCCACCTTTACTGTTTGCTGAGCATTGCTCTTTGTTTTTGATTAAACTCAGACTCATTTTCTGACAAGGGGCTTCAACTTAATGCTTTTATCAGGTGACAGAATAATGCTTCCTCTAGTAGGCTTGGAAACACATAATTTAAGAATTGAATATACTACACACCCCTCCCAACATTCAGAATGGTATTTATATTCATTATCGAATTTATTTTCTTCCCAAGTTTTTTATTTTATAGCTTTGAGGAAGTCAGTAACAGAACCCACAGCAAATATCCAGAGTAGAAGAAACCCGCTCTCATGCTTTGGAACACACTGTGCTTAGAGCAAATACTACCTTAGGCGGGAAGGCAGCTGAGGCAGGGCATCCCTTTTTCCTTAAGGTTGGCGTGTGAGCTGGAAGTGGAGCAGAGTCTGCAATCTGAATCCCGGGCAGAAGAGGAAATGAATGTTGTGAAAAACTCACTTTATTTAGAAAACAACTAGAAAGAGGCCAGAGCAAATAAGCCAAACAACATGTCAACAATGCCAAGGAACACTGCCTCAGCTTTCTGAGGCTCCGGGTTCCACAGAACTCTACTTCAAGTCTGAGCTCAAGATAGTTACAAATGAATGATTTTTTCTCAATTACAATCAGTTCAATTTGGAAATTTAAGAAGCAGTAAGTTAGAAAATAAAATCCACAGAGAAAACAAAAATCATAGAATGCAACTTACACAAAAATGAAGATATTTTCACATTCATTCAAATTTGTCACATTAAAAGTAACTGAATATTTAGGAAGATTTATGATCTGAATATTTAGATTAGTTTTTAAACGTTTTACTATATGTGAATTTGTGTGTGTGTGTGTGTGTGTGTATGTGTGTGTGTGTGTGTGTGTGTGTACACGTATGCATAATGTATATGTGTGAGTTAGATGAATGCGTCCATGAGGGGTCAGAGGACAACTTTGTTAAGTCATTTCTCTCCTTCTAACTTCATGTGGCCTCAGAGGTTTTCCCAGCAGATGCAGAACTTGCTAAGATATCTCACCAGTCCTAGAAGATTCTTTTTTAACTACCTGAGTTCCATATTTAGAATATATATTATATATATGGAATATAATTACCTAGATTTGAATATATGGAGATAAGTGAGACTTTTTACACAGAAATTAATTTTAAATAAAAGAGTTAAAATTATTCCATATTATTGGAATTATGAATTTAATTCAAGTTTAGTTATAAACCATATCTTTACTGTAAGTGAAATAAAATCTACTTTATTAAGTCTTGTATTTCTTTAAATAAAAAGAACCAGTGACTTTACTGGATGTTACTGTGGGGGAGGAGGGCACATGGCTTAATTAGCAAAGTAAAAAACAAAAAACAAAAGACAGTAACTTCTTTTTAGGATGCCAAGCAAGCACACAAGGAAAACAAGTTAACCCTTGTATAAAGTCACAGAGTATTAAAATATTAAGAGAAAGTTGGGTAGTCTTCTGCTTCTAACAATAACCTCTAAAACTAGTCATATATAAACTATAACCTTGATATGTAATTTGACTGAATGTGTCAGTTTTTTTGTAAATTGTGAGTTTATATTCTATTTAAATTTTGTTTCCTTTTGAATATCTTGAAAAAAAATAGAGCCCAACCTATAATTTAACATTCGAGAAGATAAATATAAAAGATAAAAGAGGAACACTGAAAAAATCTATGCAAAAGATAATAAACATAATAGCAAACAAAACTGTCATTAGAGTTCTACAAAAAGTCCTAAAGAAGTTATTAAAATTAAAGACTCAAGCAGAGGTGCTGGATAAAAGATCCACAGTACCTAATAAAAACTGCATTCCACTGGACCTCACTCACACAGCCACACACAATTCAGCGCACCAGAACAAATCAAAAGGCAACACGGAGCACAGTGAAGGCCACGAGCTCAGAGGTGGAAATGCCCGCTACCATGAAGATGTCAGTTTTCCCTGGGAAAGCTATAAAGTCAATGTAATCCTAATACAAAGGCTCACATGGAATTTGGCACACTAGCACTAAGTAGTATGCCAAACTAAAGGGTCAAGAAGAAGAAGAACATGGTGGCTATGAGTGGCACCCAACAACTGTTTTAGAGCTACTGTAGTGGTCAAGAAATGTGGAATCAGTCCAAAAATAAGCAAAAGGGGGCTGGAGGGCTGGCTCAGATGTTAAGAGCACTAGCTGCTCTTCCAGAACTCAGAGGTCCTGAGTTCAATTCCCAGCACCCACATGGTGGCTCACAACCATCTGTAATGAGATCTGGTGTCCTCTTATAGCACGCAGATGTACATGCAGACAGAACGAGGTATACATAATAAATAAATAAATCTTAAAAAAAAAACACTGCAATTAAAAAAAAATAAGCAAAAGGACAGAAAAGCCCACAACAGACCCACACATCAAAGAAGAGACACCACTGCAAAGGAGTGAAATACAGGGGACTCCGCTCTTTATATGGGGAGAAAACATGGGAACCCCATTTCTTACTCCACATAGCAATAAATTTCAGTTTGATTAAAGTCTTAAATACATAAAAGCAGTAATTTAAAATTTTAGAAGATAACATGGAAGAAAAATAATATTTTCATAAAGAAAAACTACTTTAAAAACCACAAAAACAGAAGTCATACAGGAAAAGACTGATAAGCTGGCCAAGAGTTTTGAAAAACAGAAAGTTAACACAAAATTAAAAAATTATTATCAGGCTGGAAGAAAATGCTTGCAAGCAATATGCCCAGCAAAGAACTCCTATCTAGACTTAAAAAGAACATTAAACAAAACAACATAAAAATTAACAGAACAAATGGACAAAGGACATCAACAGGCAAATCATTAACAGCCAATGAACATATAAAAAGATGTTAAATACAATTAGAAAAGAGAAACCCAAGTTAATACGAAAATGGTACTTCACATCCATCCAACTGGTAAAAGTTAGTATCTGATTGTACCAAGGGTTGGTAGGAATGTGGGGAAATGGGGAACTCTCACATGCTGCCAGGGGGAATAAGAAGGGATCCAGGCACTGTGGAAAACATTTGGAAAGATCTAGTTAAAGTTTAAAGTATATATAACACACAACTAGTTTGCACCCAAATTGCCCATCTGCATAAGCAAAAACACTAAGACCCCCCAGGACTAATTTTAGCAATAAAGGGCTAGAAGCAATGTAAGTATCCCACAAGAGAATACTATTCGCACATGGTGAGAGCAGTGCATTTCATTACAGCAGTTATTGTTACCATTGCTGTGCAAAGCTCTAAATCAGTTGGTTGCCAAAAACAAACAAAACAAAACATGGAAAGAAATGTGCTCCAGATCCAGGGCAATCCACAGAGATGATGCCACCATGTTGCTCTTCCTGGGGGTGACTGATGAGACCATTACCCAACATCTTTGGCTAAAAGCTTATAAAGCAGACAGAATGAAGGAACTAAATGCACATTCTTCCAACTAGAATGCCAAATGGTCTTTGGGGAGAAAACTGACCAACGAGCTGCTTAAAGTAACTGACTGATGTGAATTATTAACATAACATTAAAAAGCAGGATTTAGTTGAGTGAGTACCCATGGCTGATTGAGCAGTTAGAATAAACTACCCAGCTGCCACAGTTGTCCAGTTGTTACAGTAGTAACAATTGCATTATAGAGCTGTGTTTATGATGCAATGAATTAGTTAGATCATGGCTTATTAAACTGATTACAAGAATTAAACACATGAATCAAGAATGGCAGTTTCAATGCCATGTGCTTAGTTTGTATCTAATGCCAACAATTCCATAAATTTTGAATGTAATATTTACACAAGCATAACTCTACACACTTCTCTGTCTTTAGCTACCTACCTACCTACCTATTTTTGCCTATTTCAGGTGAATGTGAGTGGTAACTTTCTATCTCTCTCTGTATTATCAAAATGTAATGACGTCTAATGAATTGTAACTTATTACACAATGTACTTAATTAGACAGATTTCACTTCAACTCTTCAGTTCCCTTTCCTGAAGACACATGTACACTCGTGGAGCAATGCTGCTCCAGGGAGGCACCTTAACTGGCTCAGCTTCACTAGATGTGGAAGGAGATGTGGACCTTGACTGGATGTAAAACTTGATGCTCGGGTTCCATATATAAGTGTTGTTAACAGGATCAGTCTAGGAAAATAAGGCAGGAACAAAACAAAACAAAACAAAACAAAAATAACCCAAGAAATCTATTTGAACAACACGTAACTCTTAAGGCATGGTCATGACAACAATTCTTGAGGAGGATTAAAAAAAAACACCTCAAGTTTGAATATTTACATTAGGGATGGCATTATGCAAAAGCCTGAGTTTTACTACAAACAAGCATTTTGTTAACTATGGAGAACTGCTATAATTTGGCAACTGTATGGGAGTTATAGGCAAGCAGTGGCAAACATTAGGAGTGGCCTTCCATGGGTAGAGGGTACAGGCAAGGCTTCAAACAATTCCTAAGCAGTCAACCAACGCTCCAGCCCCACACTTGCTGTTCATCTCTGCATAGTACCTGGACTCTATGTGAAACTTGCATTTCACACACAAAAATAACCATATATGTGAAATAAATGAGTACTTCAGAGATATATGTTGTAGATTAGACAAATTTTGTACTAGACAATTAAATTTAGTCCTTTACCAGGTATTAAAAGGAATTTAACATGAGTTTTGTGCTTGTCACTAATGCCAATCTTTATTTATAGCCGTAGAAATATTATATTCAGATGCACCCTTTAAAACTAAGTACTCTGCCGGGCGGTGGTGGCGCACGCCTTTAATCCTAGCACTTGGGAGGCAGAGCCAGGTGGAT